ATATTAAGAGACTTGTAAGCTCCTGCTATAGTAGACACTATATCAGGATGACCCTGGCTGCATGCTGCATGAAGTGCTGTGTTACCATTGCTATCTGCCATGTCTACTAATTCTACACGTGGTTTATTGTAGCTTGGACTATCCAATAGATATTCTACTATTTCCAAGTGACCCTCTTGAACTGACAGATAAAGTGGAGTACGACCAGAAGCATCAGTGATATCAGGATTACAGTAACGACCATCAACAAAAAACCTCAATACATCCAAAGACCCTCCCTTTGCTGATATGTGTATTACATTGAACCCTTTATCGTCCAGTATAGAAATGTTGCAGTTTTTACTGTTGAGGTAACGAATGATGGGAAGGTTCTTAGAGAAAGCTGCAATAAGTAGTGGAGTACATCCAAAAGAGTCGGTCATATCAAGAGATAATGGTGAATGGTCTATAATGTAAGACTAGTGAGGTAGAGAACTATAGCAACATGTCCCTCCTGGCATACTATGTGAAGGAGTGTAAAAGATTGAGTATCATAAAAGGGTTCAGTGGCATTAATATCAAATGAATAATTGTTTAATAAATGCTTTAAAGAATACAAAGAGTTGTATTGTGCAGCATAAAAAGGTAATACACCATTCTTAAATGAGGCTACATTGATATGATACTCTTGTCTAAGCCATTCTAGTATATGAATATATCCATATCCCACTGCAGCTTCTGGTGATGACTTCAGGCTGTATATTCTAGGATTAAGGTTGTATTGTTTTATTAATAATTTTAAAAGATCAAGATTACCAGAGGCACAAGCCCATCTGACACAATTGTAGCCATCCTTATCTTCAGTAGTGACATCACATTTCATTACATCAATTAGAAATGTCACTAGTTGTATTACACCAGTACCACAGGCATAATGAATTGGTAGAGTATCATCAATGTTAGTAGAATGTAATAGACTAGTATATTGTGGATAATTATTAATAATATATTTAATAAATGAAAAATGACCATTCCATGAAGAATAATGAAACACATTCTTGTTGTATGCTCCACCTACTCTATCCAAATCACATCCACAATCTTTTACTAAATACTCTAAGACATCAATAGCACCAACTGAAGCTGCATAATGAACTGCTTGCCTACCGTCACTAGTTTTAACTTGAGGATCTAGTTTATATTCATTAACTAATAATTTAATTAATGATAGTTTAGTACTATATACTGCTTGAAGTAAAGCAAATGATGTGAGAGGCAATTGATGATTATTAATGAGGTATTGGACTAGCTTCATGTTACCACTCATAGCACTATGAGTCAATGCATTCCATTTCTTATTATCTGTTATGTTAATGTCACTGTCTTGTACTTCAATGAGATATTGACTGAGATCAATGTTACCATGACGACATGAATAATGAAGAGGTGTTCTACCCTCATTACAGGTTATATTAATATCAATGTCAGTAGTATTCATAATATATTCTACTGCATTGATACTACCTGACATACAAGCTAATGCTAATGGTACTACACCTTTGTAGTCTGGTTGACTGGCATTCAACCTATACTCAGATACAGTATAACTGAGTAGAGTAGGTGAACCTGATAAAGCAGCATAATGTATTGCAAACCGACCCTCATAATCTAATGAACTTGTATTAATACCATACTCCTCTAATACCTTCACTAATAATATACTACCACTAGTACATGCTAAATGAACCAATGATTGACCAGTAGCAGTAATAGAATTTATATTAAAATTATTAATAACGCTTGTCTTCTTGAGGAGTGTAGACAAAAGGCTCACTCTTTTATGCTGTTTAGTAACATTTATATTCAGTGATATATATTTATGCCAGTTGTCTTTAGCTTCCACATTAAATGAAGTAAGTTGCATAAGTAAAGGTATATCACATGGTGCAGTGAGCTTATTATACACTTCTGTAATGCAGTATTTATTAACCAATCCACTGCATAAGTAATGAAGAGAAGACCGACCACTGGGATCCTCTAG